ACAGTACAGTACAGTACAGTACAGTACAGTACAGCACAGTACAGTAAAGTAGGATTGTCGAGAAAATAAAAAAATTCCCATTTTAATCAAAGTTTAAAGCATTTACTGGAAGCAAACATTTTTAATCATATAAAAAAACCTTTTTGTCAATTTTCTAAATTTTATCATATTCTAGAAATGTTTATTTATTACTTGATTTATGGATTCAAATTAATAAAGAGAAATGTGAACAATTCATTCCGGAGAAATTTTTTTCATGTCCTAAAATAATGAAGGCCACAATCAGATTATATAATTTTTAAACAATTTCCCTATTATTTATGACAAAAACTTTGATAAAACAAGGAAAAAGTTGACGCCGGGTGAAAAGTGTCAATTTTGAGAGCTTAACATTTTCTTCAACGTATATCAAAACTTAATAAGGATAACTTTAATAAATGTCGTCTTAGAAAAGGTAATTTTTCGTTTAACGTAATTAGTCAGTACAGTACACTGCGATACAGTACAGTACAGTACAGTACAGTACAGTACAGTACAGTACAGTACAGTACAGTACAGTACAGTACAGTACAGTACAGTACAGTACAGTACAGTACAGTACAGTAAAGTACAGTACAGTACAGTACAGTACAGTACAGTACAGTACAGTGCAGTACAGTACAGTACAGTTCAGTACAGCGTGCAAGAACAATTTGCTAGAATTTATTATTATTTATCAATCTACAGAGGGTTACACAAAGTATGAAAGCGGAGAATGAAACAGAAATTCAATTATGTACTATATACTTACTTTTTGATTTCCTGCAGCCGTACTGACTAAACAGTACAGATGTAAACCATCATAATTTAAGGCACAAATCAAATTAAATCTTCGTATTTTAATATTCTAACAGTTTCAGATCATTATTTTGGTCTCCTCTTTATATACAGGGTGTCCCACGAAACATGTCTTCTTCCATAATTTGTTTAATTGTTTAATACCTAAGACAATAATACAAATATTATACAGGGTGTCCCAAAAAACATGGGAATTCAGTGACGAATTGGATATCGTCTTTGTTATGAAATACCATTGTAATACCTGACTTCACAAGCCATAGTATTATTATGTATGCTAGAGTTTATTTTTTGAAAAGGGTAAAAGACTGCAAAGATGTGTCTATAATATCTCCGCAAGATGAACAGTGTAGACGGACAAGTTTACTCTTTTTGTATACTACAATTTCCTTGTTTTACTGAGTACAACCGTATGCAGTCAAAACATAGACAAACAAATTGTGAACGTAGCAGACGAAACTCTTAGAGATTATAGCTTTCTCAGTAGGTATCACTAAACTAAATCAAAGAATTATTTAAAAAGACGATATCGAATTCGTCACTGAATTCCCGTGTTTATAGGGACACATTGTATGTGAGTCATGTTATAGTAAAATTGGTTTTAAAGTAAAATATGTTTCAGAAAAAGAATTTGTTATTGAAATAAACTGCAAAAAGCCTTTAATATATAATACGACTTCCATAACTATTTACCAACTGTCATGTTTCGTGGGACACCCTGTATATAATTTAATATTTGTATTTTAATTTTTTGTTTCTAGGCGGATGTATGTCATGCGTATCAAATAGGAAACATTTGAAAATATTCAGATTAACATTTAAAAATAAAGATTTCTTTGATTTTTTAATTCAATTCAGTAAATTCTTTTTAAGTATGAAGACCCATATAACTATGGAATAGAGAGACGACTTTAGACTGCAGTTTTTAGTTCATTGCTTCATTGCAGTATCAACTACTGATAAGATTGCTTAAAGATTGTCTTCTTATCTCACAAATAGCGTCTATAGAGAGGGACCGCCCCTTTCCGCTCAAATTCTAAAAGAAAAATCGGCATTTTCTCCGGCCACAGTTGTCTTTGAAAATTAAGACAGCGAATAGGCTGTTTAGTTTACCCTGAAATTACCCAAATAAGTGAACGGTCCCTTTAAAGGAGAAAAAATTAGCATAACGTAATGAAAGGAAATTTATATAAAAATACAAAGCCAAAGAAGTTTGAATCTAAACGAACCTACAAACACTGCCCATCAGTACTAATACAGTGGTAGGCGATTATATTGAAATAACGAAGACGACTTTTTATTTAGGTTTTAATTGTTAAAAAGCTTTGTTCGAATTACAAGTTTACAAGTAAATATAGAGAAGGTTTTTGGTTGACACCTTCTCTTTTTTCCATGTTTTTGTGTATCAATGCTGTTTAAAGACTTGATATAAGTTGAACTCGAAAGTCGTCTTCATTATATTATATATTATATATCCTCTACCACCGTAGTATCAAAGTTCCGTCTCCCCTCTCCTCAAAATATTTGAAATATAAAGTGAGTGCTCACGGTATTCCTGATGATCATATTATTGTAATGATGTATGATGATATTGCAAATAACGAGGAGAACCCTACTCCAGGTACAGTTATAGCAATGATAATAATAATAATAGCAATAATAATGAAAACAATGATAATGATAATAGTGATAATAACTAGCTGAAGGGCCCGGCGTTGCCCGTGAAAACAAATGTAATTTATTTTTTTTTAACCGAATTTTTTATAGCCTATAACACTCCCCAGCCACCCGTGAGTGTCCACAAAAAAATTCAGCCCAATCGGTGCAGCCGTTTGGCCAGCTATAGGCAACATATATATATACAAACGTCTTGTTTTATTATATAGATAATAATGAGAATAATATTGATAATGATAATGATAATTATAATGATAATGACAATAATAATGATAATTATATAATTATAATGATAATGATAATTATAATGATAATGATANTAGAACTTTAAAATAAAAATTTAAAATTTTGATTAAATCAAAAAAGATATTTGAAAAACATAGTGCATTAATTGTCTCACATTAATCCCAATTCAATTGAAGGAGATGATTTATTTGGCTTACCGTCCCATTTAAGTTGTCATAGTCTACAAGTGTGGGTACTGTACAACTTGGCCAAGATACCTTTAAAGGACTATTAAACAAAAATGTAAGGGGTATAGACTGAAACCTAAGTATCTTAAGAGTTGATCGAAACCCTTGCGAGTTCTATCTGATGTTCCTGTCTCCAGAAATTGATATAAACTGTGTCAACTTTATACAAAATGAAAGGGGTATTGGCTGAAACCAAAGTATCTAAGAAGTTGATCGAAACCCTTGCGAGTTCTATCTGATGTTCCTGTCTCCAGAAATTCATATAAAACTGCGTCAAATTTATGCAAAAATCAGTATATACCAAATGTTGTATAAAACTAGTAGGTTTAAACAGATCATATTCAGCAAATACGCAACCAATTTGAAAGTGAAGATATCCCAGAGGAGTCTAAGTAACTTAGGTTTGCTCCTATTATATTATTACTCCCACCAATGAGAGTGCAGTATACTGGGCATGTGATACAGACGGAGACACATGACAATAATACTGCACTGCCATTGGTGGGAGTTCTGGTCATGTGATACGGACATTTAAATAATTATACGTATAATTATGTATAATAATTATCAAATATTGTATTAAAAATGAAAAAATATTAAATTCAAATAATAATAAGAGCAAACCTTAGTTACTTAGGCTCCTCTGGGATATCTTTGCTATCAGATTGGTTGCATATTTGCTGAATATGATTTTTGTATACATTTGACACAGTTTTATATCAATTTCTCAAGACAGGGAGATCAGATAGAACATGCAAGGGTTTCGATCAACACCTAAGATACTTAGGTTTCAGTCAATACCCCTTTTATTTTTCCTTTACAGTCCCTTTGAAGTCAATCCGGTTCTTGAATTAAACCGGATTTATAGTGATGAATCGTTTTTTCAATTTTCCAATTTTCTTATCCTTTTATCAATATAATTCATGAAATCCTTAATTGAACTTAAAAGTAAAAATTATGATTAAATCAAAAAATATATTTTGAGAAATTTATGCATTGGTTGTCTCACATTCATTTCAATAGATGATTTATTTGGTGTACTATTCCGTTTCAGCCGTCATAGTATAGTCTGCATGTGTACTGTACAGTGTACAGTGTACAACCTTAATGTCAGTCCGGTTCTTCAAAAGCACCGGAATGACTATTGATGAATCCTTTTTTAAATTTTTCCAATTTTCTCATCCTTTAACAATATAATTTCATGAAATCCCTTATTGAACTTTAAAATAGAAATATAAAATTGAAATAAAACCAAAAAATACATTTTGACAATTTTATACATATTAGCTCACATTAATCTCAAAAGAAGGGGGCAGCCTAAAATACGGTCTGAAACTTTAATTAAACTATTAATGTTATTTTTATAATTGTATTAATGATAAATAATTTTTCAGGGATTGGTTGCTTTTGGTGAAGAATTCCTCAGGGTAAGGTTTAAGTATTCCTAATTATCATTTTCAAAATAAATTGTACTTCGTGTCAACGCTTTTTTGTTCTCTATTAATAATTGATTCCTGAAACGTTTGTGAAGATATTTTCAGCTTTCCATCAGAAAATTAATACAAAAACAAAAAGATGTCTGACTTTCAAGTTGCATTTAATGCCGCAATCAAATCTATAAGCAATAAACCGGTTTCGTATATACTGTGTATAGGCCACTGAGCTGAATGCCGCAATCAAATCTATAAACAATTAACCATTTTGTGCGCTGTGTGGACTACAAATGAAATGCGGCTAAATAAAATCCAAAAACAATAAACCAGTTGTGACTGTGTTGTAGACTACAGAGCAAAATGCCGCAATAAAATCTATAAACAATAAACCAGTTTTATGTACTGTGTAGGCCACTGAGCTGAATGCCGCAATTAAATCTATAAACAATAAACCGGTTTCGTATATACTGTTTATAGGCCACTGAGCTGAATGCCGCAATTAAATCAATGAATGAAAAGAAGATGTTCTCAAAACTTCTGTTCTACATGGAAGCTTGTGAATCTGGTTCTATGTTCCAGGTACATAAACCCTTCGTATTTTCTTACAAAGAGTGGTTTCAGGATTTAATTCAGTGGAAGGGGTATAAAGCTGGACCCTAAAATCTCTTTTTAAGGGGCTACTTGACCTTAACATGTACTGTTTAGGAGCTACTTGACCCTAAAATGTACGGTTTAGGGACTACTGGACCCTAAAATGTCTTGTTAAGGGACTATTGGACCCTAAAATGTATTGTTAAGCAACCACTGGACCTTAAAATGTATTTTTTAGGGACTACTGGACCTTAAATGTATTGTTAAGTAACCATTGAACCCTAAAATGTCTTGTTAAGGGGCTGCTGAACCCTAATATACACTGTCTACTGGACCCTAATTGACCTGTTTAGGGACTACTGGATTCTAAAATGTCTTGTTAAGGGACTGCTGGACCCTTAAATGTATTGTTAAGCAACCACTGGACCTTAAAATGTATCGCGTAGGGACTACTGGACCCTAAAAAGTATTGTTTAGGGACTACTGGACCTTAAAATGTATTGTTAAGTAACCATTGAATCCTAAAATGTAATGTTTAGGGACTACTGGACCCTAAAATGACTTATTTAGGGACAACTGGACCCTTAAATGAACTATTTAGGGACAACTGACCCCTAAAATGAACTATTTACGGACAACTGAACCCTAAAATGAACTATTTAGGGACAACTGGACCCTAAAATGACTTATTAGGGACTACTGGGACCTAAAAAGTATTGTTTAGGGACTACTGGACCCTAAAATGTAATGTTTAGGGACTACTGGACCCTAAAATAAACTATTTAGGGACAACTGGACCCTAAAATGAACTATTTAGGGACAACTGGATCCTAAAGTGAACTATTTAGGGACTACTGGACCCTAAAATGAATGTATTTGCTACAACTGCCTCTAATGCTACCACCTCCTCCTATGCTTGTTACTATGATCCTCTGAGGAAAACATTTCTAGGAGATGTTTACTCAATAAAGGTAATATTTCTAGGAGATGTTTACTCAATAAAGGTAATATTTCTAAATAATAATAATAAGATTCCCCCTGGTTGGCTAAGCTGTGGAGCTACTGCTGTCCCCGGTCCTGAGGTAAAAAACCTTAAAAAATTTGCAAATTAGATTTTTTTTTTTTAAAGATTCAGCATATTTTCCTTGTATAGTTGTATTGTTATGTCATGGATTACTAATTGACAAGAATTGAGTGGTAATATGTCCAGTCAACTTAATAAGCAAGATATTTGATATAAGAAGAATAAAGCAGGAAGAACAACTACCCTCCCCCCTCCCCCTTGCATGAGATACCCCCCACCCATGTTAAAGAGATTACATACGTACTTTCAAAGTTCTACAAATTTTACTACTGGTATTTGATCGGAAAAAAGGTAGCTCTACAATTCCATGTTAAATAATGCTTATGTACATATATTCTATATAGTGTTAAGTGGTTAGAGAATTCACATATAGAGAATATATAGAACCCTGTTTAGTGGTTAGAGGATTCTGATATAGAGAATATAGAGAACCTTGTTTAGTGGTTAGAGGATTCTGATAAAGAAAATATAGAAAAGGAGACCCTGGAAGAACAATATAGAATTGTAAAGAAGGAGACTAACACCAGCACTGTCTGCCAGTTCGGTAAATCCAAGTTTTCTGTAATTTCAAATGACCCTCTATTTATATTTTTAGACTGGCATTTCAAATTCCCTATTAAGTCTCTGTGTAATATTAGATACATTAGAAAGGTTTTCTTTAATAAAATGATTGTTTTCATCTGTGAAGTGACGTAAGGATTCTTGCTAAAGATGTCTGGCTGAATAAACAAAGGAAATCATTACAATCACGAAAGAGTGAACAACGAAGATTTCTACCGATATGTGAATCCGACTTGCCCCTCTTTTAAACGGAAAGCCACTTGAAATTCTATCTAGAGTTTCTCTAATTCCTAAAATAGGAACAAATTTCAAATGGAAAAAAGAAATAATATTGAAAATTACGAAAAAAAATTGTCAAACTTATATATTCTTAACTTGTATATCTGTTTTTTTGTGTGTGAAATTTTTGTTTTGTTTTTGTTTTAAATGTATTCAAAGAGAAAATGTTTACAATTGAAAAAGAAGATGGACTCAAAGTGCCCAAAAAGCCTTGTGTAAATAAATTTCAGCAGAGGTCAGACTTTTTGCATTGTTAATCTCGTTTAGAAGGACTAATCCGTATACATGACAGGTTAAGGTCCGGCCAATCACAAAGAAACCAATTTTCTCCAGTCCAATCAGAGGTTGAGAAAAGTGAGTCAGCCGTTTTTTATGAAATAAACACTTGATCTTCTTCAGCTGAAGTTCAATCGATGATAAATCTTATACAAAAGACATCAGGATATTTTTTTTTATATTTTATTATTTGTAGGAAATATGGATATTAGCAAACTTACAGTTGGATCCTTTCAGGGTCTGAAACCTACAGTTTCAATTAACCTTCCGGTAGTAATAATTATAATAATAATAATAATAATAATAATAATAATAATAATAATAATAATAANTATCTAACAGTAATATTTTACCATTTTGATTAGAGTTCAACACTCTTCATACACACTTTCAGATATTGTACTGTACTGTATTGTACTGTACTGTACTGTACTGTACTGTATTGTACTGTACTACAGTGAAACCCATAAAACTGTGGAAAAGGAAGACGACATTAACGCAATACTTAAGGGTAATAGATATTGTAACAAAGCAAATAATTTTACTAATAACTTATTCTAAATTATTATTATTCTTATTCTTAGCTTTCTGGTTCTTACTGAATACTAAACTGTACCATGTACTTTACTGTTGTTTAGTTTATGAACGAGACAGTACATGATATTGTGAGTACTGTACTGCAAACTGATGATGAACAAGTTATACAAGATGTTTTCAATCAGAACCTGGTTCTCACAAAGTAATTATGCTTTTATTTATACATTCTTCACCGAAAATATTTTAGTTAGAAAATTTTTGAGCTTGCGCCAATTTGCCGCTTTTGTGATTGTAAATTTAACCAGATGCAGCCTAAATTCAGACTTGGTCAACCTACAGGGTGTCCCACGGAGCCCACGAAGCATGACAAAAGCATAACGACTTGAAAGTCGTCTTTTCTCCATGAAGAAATTTGCGACATTTTATCTTATACCTAGTTTTAGAGTTCTAGAATTAATAACCACAAAGTACTCGAAGTCTTGGCATTTCCAAAATGTGGTCTGCATTTTTTTGCTTTCAATTTTACTGGAGATATGAAAAATTTCCGTCAGATTTCGAAAATTATGGTTTAATTTGATAAAATTAAAATCTGAACAAAATTCTTAATATCTCCGTTAGTAATATTGACAGCACAAAAAGGCAGAACCACATTTTGGAAATGCCAGGATTAGGAGAACTGTTTGGTCATTGTTTCAAGAATAATAAACAGGGAGCCGATCCTGTTCATACCAAATAGATTCTAATACAATTATTTCATGCACTTTCATGTACTTGTATGTACTTTCATGTACTTTCATGTACTTTCATGTACTTTAATGTACTTTCATGTACTTTCATGTAATTTCATGTACTTTCATGTACTTTCATGTACTTTTATGTACTTTCATGTACTTTCATGTACTTTTATGCACTAGTGCAACTATAAGGCTTGGCCAAATAGATTTTAGAACAATAGATGGCAATGTAAAATTTGTGTCAATTCAGTTTTTGTGTTCTACAAAGTTATTAATAATAATTTTAGGAAACTTTAGGGAAATTCCCGAGAATTTATTAAAATCTTTGTGTCCACTCTTTGTCCCCCTAAAATGAATTACTTTCTTTTTATTTAAAATTTGTAAAAGTGACACAATTTATATTTTTTCTTCTTTTAATGCAAAATATTTTTTTTATTATTTTGTTCTTGTTTCAATAAATGTATTCAAATCAAATCAAACCAAATCAACTCAAATCAAATCTAATCAAATCAAATTAAATCAAATCAAATCAAAACAAATCAAATCAAATCAAATCAACTCAAATCAACTCAAATCAAATCAAATCAAATCAAATCAAATCAAATCAAATCAACTCAAATCAACTCAAATCAAATCAAATTAAAACAAATCAAATCAAATCAAATCAACTCAGATCAACTCAAATCAAATCAAATCAAATCAAATCAAATCCAATCAAATCAAATCAAATCAAATTAAATCACATCAAATCAAATCAAATCAAAATCAAATTAAATCAAATCAAATCTAATTAAATCAAATATTTATTACATGAATATTTATAGTTTAGACAATATAAAAATTACAAAAAAAAATACAAATCTTCATGATGGATAACATTTATCTGGTGTGCCAGGTTTTCATAATTTTCCTATAATTTTACATTGAGCAATGTTTATAGAGCAGTTTCCGAACAGAAAACAATAAAAATTGCAGCTGCACCATTAAAGTGAATGTTCACGGATTTTCAACGGATTTCAGACAAACTTATTTTGCTCGAAAATTCCGTTGTGGAAGGTTAGAAGTCTGGAGATAAAAAAATAGACTAAACTTTTCAAACGTCGTAAACATCTCTTGAAGTTTCCCTTTAAATGCAAAATGCAAAGTTCTTTATATCGAATTTGTGATAATAAACTTTGTATCCGCCCCCCTCTAGTCCACCCGCCTCCTCCACCTCCCCCCTTACTTCCCATCTGCCCCCCCCCCCGGGGACAAACATTTGAAATTGAATTTATTTCGACCAGAAAGGCATGCTAGAGTGGCCGGGATAGGTTTACTATACTGCAAGATACATTTGCTGGTACCTTCAAGTCTAGTGTAGTCCTTTTGTATAGTCTAGTGTAATCGAACTATATATATATATAAATGAATTTACTGGTACCTTCAAGTCTAGTGTAGTCCTTTTGTGTAGTCTAGTGTAATCAAACTATATATATATATGAATTTACTGGTTACGGTCTTAGGTTTAATTTCTTTCGTTTTAACAGTTGAATGTTTTTGGACTTTTTAATATTCCACAAAATTTTGAGAAGTTTTACAATGTTGTTTTCTTAACATTTGTTTTTCTTACCCCGTATGTTAATGTTAATCGTGACACGGGCAGCAGTAGTACATTTGAATTTCCGAGCTGGGTCAACCTGTCCAGTCCCAGCTTGTACCCAGCTCTTTGGACAGGACTAGCCGGTGCAACAAGGTTGACGCGGTCAGACTTGATGCTTCATATAGGTTAAATTTACTTTTAGTAAAGGGGCAGAGGTGTGTGCCGAGGGAAGATAAAGTAAAATTAAAAAATGAATAATCGTTCTTGTGGTTCGATCTATATCAAAGGGTTAGCCTTTTTCCATAGTGATGTATATAAAGAAAATGCTTAGAATAAACTGTTTTGAAATTTGTAAAACGTTGAAGAATTCTGTTAAACCTTTTATAAGTGTTAAAACACGAAATCAAATGCTCAAACTGGTCACCCTAAACTGAACTCAAGTTAACTGCAGTTTACTATGACCGAATAAAAAGTGGGGTTTAGCGGAGAGTATGGTACCAGCCAGTCTAGTGTACCAGAGTGTACTTCTGATCCAAAACCGGAATAATTTTGCATAAAAAGTTGAACTGTATGTACTATTTTTGCAATTACAAAACAATAGCAATTTAATCTACTTAAAATTTGGTTTCAGTTCCATTTTTCTTTTAAATAAAAAATATTCAAAAAAATAAAATTATGATCTTTTTGTAGGTTTGAATGTTATTACATGGCAGTTGATGCGTTTCACTCTCATTGCTTCAATATTGGACAAAACGATTATGCTTTGAGGTAAAATAGTTATTAAAGGGACTGTACGCGTGTTTTCAAGTGACCCTCCATGCAAAGATGGCAATGTCCGATTTACAACAGTATCCTTGAAACCTTTATCTGATCAATAATGTGGAAGATATCGTCGGTCTTCTAGATATAAAAGAGTTAATTCCAGTAATTTCTCTACGTTTTCTTGCAGTGATATGCGCAAGTGTCTTATGTAGAGAAAAAACACAATTGAAAATAATTACTTTTAAAAATTATAAATGTGGATATTTAATTTATCCTTGATCAGACAAAGCTTTAAAATGTACTGTTGAGAGAGGGAAGGGTACATTAATATCTAAAAAAAAACTATCGGAATGTTTTAATTTTCATGTACCTGGCCGATTTTTGACTAACTAGAGCAAAGAGCAAGCAGTACAGTACAATTACCGCAACCATGATAGTGCGCCAAATGAATGCGAACGATTTCTTTAATTTTAATAAAATTTCGTTTTAGCCTATTATTCAACAATATTTAAACTTACAGAGTGTATCATTTAGCTTTTTATTTAAAACGCACTCGCTGACAAAAAAGTATATAAGAAGAAAATAAAAAAATAAAAATTTTATAAAAAATTAAAACTAAAAATATGTTTTATGTAAAATATGAAAAAAAATTGAAAAAAGATGCAATCTGGTATTTAAAAAACTTTAACTTACAAAATCAAAATTTTTCTCAAACTATTATTTTTCCACATTGTTATAATTATTACTTTAATGAAGTTTATACGTTTCGTGAAGTTCTTCAAAAAATATTAGATAAAAGAATTAAATAATTGTTATATCATATTTGCAAGTTTTAAAAATCAAAAAACAATTGTAAAACTAAAATTTTCCAAAAATTCGCAAATCCTTTTGATTTTCAGGATGTTAAACACTTTTGTGAACCTGTGTCAGCATGGGATAGATTCAGCCGCCATTGTTCAAGCTGTTCAGGTGATAATTACAGAAGACGACTTTTTTAAAACATACACGGCATTACTTTTTACTCTGCGCACTGTTTGATAACTATAGTTAAAGGGACTGTAAACATAATTTCATTGATTAAAGTGGAATGTCTGACTTTGTCTCATTAAGTACGAAATATATTTTATTTTTTTTTCTTTAGAAAACTGTTAATTTTAATTTGTTGGTTTGTGCATTTCTTGCTTCAGAAACAATTATTAGATCATAGTGTTTAAGGGTACCAATGTGAATCCGGTATATCCCTCTATTAATCACCACGACAGGGCCTTTTATCCTTTATTTTGGACTGAAAACTTAACAATTTTTCCGGAATTTTCTACCATTTTTTTTAAACCTTCTGTTCTTGAGGTTATCTAGGCCTATGTCTACATTAATCTAAACTCTAATACTTTGATCAATTTTTCAGGCTACGTGTGATCATCCTCCAATGACTGGAATCTATTGATTGATCGTTAGATTGGTCGATTAATTTATTGGATGATTGATTAATTGAACGATTGATTGATCAATTATTTGGCTCATTATTTTATTAATTGATCGACTGATTGATTAGTTCTTTGATAATATGAACTCATTACTGTTGATAATTGTTTCAAAAATTGTAATTTCAAAGAGAGAAACGTTAATAAATGTTCAAAATTCATAACTATTTTTTTGTAATTAATTTTGTGTTAATATTTTTTTCGGCTGAATTTAACATACATATTTTTAAACGTCTAGAATAAGCTAAGAACATTTTTGTATTTTATCTTTGTATATATATATATATTGTGGAAGACGACTCCTGTCCGCCTTAAACAAGTTCCACAAGATTCAACAGAATGAGATAGAACGAATACGGGGCATTAGTACAAAAACATCTACACGTGTGATTTTCGACAATAACGATTATTCTGAGCCCTCTAGTAATAAGTTATAAGAAATATATATATACTGGAAGTTATCTATGCGTTTTTATTAGAGTCCGACTCACGTCCTCTATAATATATCATTTATTATCTATTTAAAGTTTTAGCTATACTTTGAAACGATGTTTTGTATAATTTTGGTAATACTTGAGGGCCAATCTTTAGTATTTGTAACCTATCTATTGTCTGGGTGTTTGATTATTTGTATTCAATTCAAGTCTAAACGACTGAACCGATTGGTAATTTTGGTGTGTGTTATATCTCTTGACCCTCAGGAAGATTTGTCCATGCTTAACCCTATCTCTGCTGGGGTATTTGAAAACCAGGATATGCTGGGGGGGTCAACCATCAATTTGACCCCCCCCCCTCTAAATCCCATGTTTGATGTCCAAATATGACAAATGATACATCATTGGAAAGCTCTTGTGCTCTACTTTTAGAATCTGCAAAAAAAAAATTTATTGCAAAATCAAGTTATGAAGTAAAAATGTTTGCAAAAAAAATTTGTCAAAAAATGAAAAATTATACGTTTTTGAAAAGCCCTTGACCATGCTATTTCAAATATGCAAAATTTTTGCAAAATTTTAAATAACTTGATTTTTAATCAAGAAAAACTAAAAATGTGCAAATTTCCTTTGACATGTTGTTTGCAAACAAATTTGCAATTTTTTCTCGCAAAACTTGTGCAATTTGTTTCCTTATGTCAAAGGCTTTCCAAAAAGCTAAATTTTATCAAAATCTGACAAGTGGAAGTGGGCATGTAGGAAAAGTCAGAAAATTTCAACAGCCTCAGACCAATACTTTTTGAGTTATGTAAAAAAAACTACAGGGGGATCAAATTGACCCCCCCCCCCAGCAGGAATAGGGTTAAAAGTTCTGTAAGCATACTTTCATGTGTCCATTAGTGCAATGTCCGATTCACAATGGCACTAGGGCTGGGTGTAGTTCCTAGGGAACAATCGTTATTTCACGGGAACAGACGGAACCAATGATTTAGAAAAAAGTAGCAACACGACCAGCCCTATATGGCATCCTTAAATCTTGAAAACTTTGTCATATCGATTATGAATTGGATATCAATGTTTATAATTTTGAAAACTGATTATTTTCAAGTGTGATTTCTCTACAAAACTGACTTGCGCATTTCTACTGCAGGAAAACCTGCAGGAATTATCATAAATAAACACTTTTAAATTTACAAAAATGACAATACCTTCCACATTTTTATGCAGATAAAGATTTTAATGTGAATCTTTACTCAATAAGTATGAGACTTTCAAACTCTGACACCATCTAAATGCTGAATTTTTGTGGTAGGCGATTATATCAATATCATGAAGACGACATTTTAAGTTTTAAATGTTAATTAAGCTTTTTACAAATTAAAAGTTTACAAGCAATAAAAGAGAAGCTTTTAAAATTGACAGCTTCTCTTTGTTTTAATGTTTATCTGTTCCATGCTGTTTAAAAGCTTGATATAAATTAAAATTTAAAGGGAGTGACCAGCTATGTCACGTAGTGAGTATGCAGTGTTGTGGAAAACTTCTTTTGGATTCATTTGAGACAAATTAAACTTTTTAAAGTTTGAGCGCAAATTCGACGTTCAAAACTCCTACTTTGGAGGTGGATACGTTTTCAGAATTAGTTTTTTTAAATTATTAAATAACGACGACATAAAATGTAAAAAAGTTCTACAATAAACTACAGCAGTCATGTATAGGAACATGTTGAGAAAATTAAAATTAATCTTATCATCGAAAATAAGTAATCTTGTTCAATTATTAGTTTCTATTTTCTCATTATTCTGGTTTCATATTATTCACAATGATTTTCTGCAGACTTTCTAGAATTATTATTTAAAAGACGACACTTGAAGAATTTGAAGAAATCTGCAAATAAATTCAACAAAAATAAGAAATTCATTATCGTAATGAAAACGAAATAATCGATTTTAGCATTGATTTTTTGACAAATTTCTTTTGAGAAATATGTTCCTAACCATCTAATTAGATTACTGTATAATTTTTACTTTTTGTTCGTTGTCGTTATTTAATAATTAAAAAAAACTGATTCTGAAAACCTATCCACCCCCAAAGTAGGAGTTTTGAACGTCGAATTTGCGCTCTTTACAGATCTTTAAAAAGTTTAATATGTCTTAAAAGAAGTTTTCCACAACACTGCATACTCAGATCAACTACCTTACATAGCCAGTCACTCGCCTACAAATTGTATTACATCTGCCCAACGTTATATCCGTCCTACGATACTTCAGACCATCCCGAACGTGGTTTTTCAGAAGCTTCAAGTTGTTTTTTGTCCGATGTACTGTACAGCTTTCTTAAGTTGGTTGAACTCTTCTGTAGGTCAGACGCACAATAAATGTCTTAATCTAACCTGACCCCACATATCGGAAATAACTTTGTCATTTTGATGTGGCTGAAGCGCTCGGCCCCCTAGCCTGTCCTAGCCGCAGCGCTTGGCCCAGAAATTGTCTTTACCTAACCTAACCCCACATATTTGCTATAACTTTGTCATGTTTATAAATGTGGCCGTATCGCTCGGCCCCCTAAACCGTAAAAATTCCGGTTTTCATTTCATAAACCGGAAATATTTCCAGGTTACATAACGTAGACGGGAAAAACTTCTGTGTTCAATGCCATTTTACAAAAACTCGATTACTTAGTTTAAAGTTGAATATATAAGACGACTTATGGAACTTATAAAAGGTTTTAATTGAATTAATATTCACAAAGTCATCAAGATTCAAGACCATTCCACTTTAGGTTTCCCTTTCACCGTAGCGTTTCAGGGTGTGAGGGGGGAGCTTCAGGGTGTGAGGGGGGGGAGTTTCAGACTGGGTTAGACTGGGTTTCTCTCTATCCCTTTTTATTTACTCCGAGTGGGTTGAGTTTACCAATGATAAGGTTTCTGTTAAAATGAGTTCTGCTGATTGGTGTGCAACATCTGATATTTAAGATAAAAAATAAAAATTAAAAAGTAAATTTACTGTTTGCGTAATATCACGTTTTTAGAGAGGCGTAATCAATTCACAACAGTTTAACCATTTTACTTATTTATTTTTACTTATCAAAGATGGCTGACTTCTTTCTTATCAACAAAACACTAGTGATTGTTTACCCAAGCTATTTGATATTTAATATTTATCTCTCAAAGTTACAAAAAACAAATATTTTCTTTCGAATTCTTAATCAATCTATAAAATGTGACAATATATAGACGAAAATACTTTATAGGCCACAGAAAAAGATTTAAGAAAATCAAAGTATATCAACTTAATTTCAAGGTGAATAAGTGTTTCGGGCCGGTGCAGTACAGATTTAAAAACCAGTTTATACTATACAAATCACAAAATACAAGTTTCCAGAAGGGGTAAATAAGGTGTTGTACATGGATGATACACTGATCCTTCTCGCAACAGGAGTTACGAAACAAAAGGATTGGAGATGTAAAATTTCGCGAGGCATAAGTAACGTCAGCTGAGTTGAGTTTACACTGAACATTAGCGTACACTCCCACGTGGATTTAACAGTTCTGTCAATATTTCAGAAAGCTGCGACTTTCGATCAAAATTTAACCCCTTGTACTTAATTTTTTAATGTTTTTTTCTAAAATACTTTTTTATCGGCATATACGTTTTGAATGAAAAAGTATAAAATAAACAAATCCGTAAGATTAAAGAGTGTTGAATTATATAGACCAAAACACGTTTTATTTCAAATAAAAGAAACCAAATGCTTCTCACTCTGGTTAGTTCGGGGTGCTCTGGACATACGACTATATTTAAAAGATATAAACAGGGGGATCTCGATGAACAATTAAAAGTTGAAAGGAAATCGTTGTAAATCGAGCATTGTCATGAAGCCATCTTACTTGAAATTATGCTTACAGTCTCTTTAAGTATTAACTTCCTTGACACCAAATATTAAGATATTATAATTAGTTTAACGGGCGCTTCTCAATCCTGCACACACACACACACCCTCATACACACAAACATCCCAACTTACTTTTACAGATGTAGTGCTATGCTTATCTTTATCATTAAGACTTTTTTCCCTCTTAAACCTGTTATCTTTAATTGTTCATTGAGGGCCTCACAGCAAAATTAAATATACATAAATACTTTATCTATTTATCTTTTTATATATATATTTATCTATTTATTTATATAGCTTCTTATCTATTTAGTATTTGTCTATATATATTCATTTATCAATCTATTTATCTGTTTATCTATTCATCTATGTATCTATTTATCTATTTATTTATTTATCTATTTATCTATTCATCTATTTATCTATTCATGTTTTTAAATATTTATATATATATTTATCTATTTATCTATTTAACTATTCAACTATTTATCTTTTCATCTTGTTAGATATTAATATATTTATATATTTATTTATTTATCTATTGTACCATTTATCTATCTATTTATCTATTTTACTATTTATCTATTTAT